TTATACATCGAATTTTGACGATTAACATATATTCTTTCATTGATAAGCTAACGAGTGGATAATCTTTATACGGCTAACGTTTTGACGTCTTCGTCTTCATCAGAGCCGATGATCTGAGTCGAATGTCCACGTTTGTTCGTCTTCTCGATGTGGGGTCTTGGTTTTCGCATTTGAATAGATTGACAATTAAAGTGAACTTGCCAGACTTATCTTGGAATAGAAAAACGCTGACTCGAAACATTGATAGTTTACTGCAATTCATTTTATAGGGCAGATACTAACCCAATCAGCTCTCGGATGATAGGAATGGAACAGAACGCATGCTTCACCTCTAAAGGATTGATCAACGCCGGGCTCCTTATGCTTTTCTTACTTGAACTTTTCAAATTCAAAGAGCTTAAGCTGATAGAACTAGGTATTAGCACTCAGTTTCAAAGTTGATTACAATAAAGATAAGATTTAATAAAAACGATTTGTTTGTGAAAACATTCATCACTTAATAAACCACCTTGAGCTAATTTGATTCTTAAAAACAAAAAGGATAGTCTGGATGTACTTAGTTGAATATTTAGTCGCTCCGTCTTAGCAAGTTGTGCCGACCCCAGCACATTTGCCATCCGTTTGTTTCCCTTGCATTCGTCGTCCTTAGTAGTGGTTTCATTCGAGCATGGTGGCGCGTGCGAGTCTTATACCGTTTTCTGTAAAATAACTGCAGCTGCAAGTATAGCTGATTAATTTTGGTTACGAACACGTTCGCTAAACGTATAGATGGCGCCGTCCGAGGGTATCCCGGATTTTGGTGGACCCCACTATGGGGTTGTTTTCGCCCATTTGTCGTCCGTTCTTCTCACTATGTAACCGGCTTACCTGTTTTTCGCTATCGAAGTGCACTCTCCTGGACCCCGAAGATGTGGAAAATTTTAAACATCAGAGCTTCATGTTCCAGGTAGATATTGAGTGTGCCGATTGTACTGAATGTGAGCAATTTCTGGATATACGGTGATATATTTCAGTCAGGTACTTACTTCACGAATGGTTTCAATATGACTAGTTCACATTATTGGATCATGATGGATACAGTCGAGAGGACATGAAATATCATGTACCAATAAGTTCAATAAAAAACCCACCGCGAAAAGCTTAAGGAACAATTTTCTTATTAAACTGGTAATGAAACTAGTAATTGTAGCAGGACCTTTTTGAGTACAGAGTGAAGCTTTTGCACAGTCGTCAAGGAATTTATAGCCGGCAGTGGTACCTCGATCGCTTCGAAAACGAATATAATACTTTCCAGGATTAATGCCCACGCTATCTACTGATTGAGCTGACCAGGTCGTGGCCACAACTAATTTCGAAACGTTATTAATCGTTACCACAAAGTGCGAACTTCTTCCAAAGTTGCCTTCAAGGATGAGTTTTATTAAAAGTCTATACCCTAGATTATGTTTACCAAAGTCGTTCACTGGCGTTGGCCATTTAATGAAGACCTCTTGAAAACTGCATACTATCGCTAATCAACTTCTTATTCCGAGCCTAACGGATTCATCTCTAGCTGAATAAGGTCACCGGACGAATCGTATTCGGTTAGCACGGTTCTGCAAATATCTGGTTCGGATAAACAGCTATGATCACAATGAATAGAATAAAAAATTTACGATGACGCCTAAATTTGTGTGATGGGACAACGCTAATTTTTCAACCTTTGGTGGAGTAGAAGAACCTTCCGCCAATCTTTGTAAACACACTGGCTCAGCTCCTCACACGTTACCTGTCTGAATACAAGGTCCCTACTCAGTGGAAGATCAGCAAAGACCGTGTTACTGTTCAAGAAGGGTGACCTGCACGTTATCGGCAACTATCGCCCAATCTGCTTACTGTCTGTCGTCTACAAACTTTTCACTCGAGTCATCCTAAACAGGACTAACAGAACACTAGGCGAAGGACAGCCTAGCCATGTGAGTAAGCAGGGTTTCGAAGAGGATTTAGTACGATGGGCCACATCCATACGGTAACAGGGCTCATTGAAGTATCGCGAGAGTACAAAAGACCGCTCTGTCTCACTTTCATTGGTTTACAGAAGGTCTTTGATTCAGTTGAGATGGAAGTAGTCTGGCAAGCCCTTGATAGTCAAGGTGTCTCTACTCTGTACATAAATATTGTTCGTCAGCTGTACAAAAAATTCACAACCAAGGTATCACTCACTATTCTACAACGATATTAACATTGACGTCAAAAGACGAGTTAGACAACGCGATACCATCTCGCAAAATTATTTACCGCCACCCTCCAGAACGTCATTCGAACATTGGAATGGGATAATATGAGAGTGAAAATCGACGGTCGACCGTTACACCATCTTCGCTTTGCTGATGACATCGTCCTTATAACACTAAACATTAACTGAGCGAAACGTATGCTTGACGACTTTGATAAAGCCTGCGGAAAGATTGGTCTCTGACTAAATCTCACAAAAACGATGTTCATGAGGAACGCATTGGCTTCGCATGCCCCATTCACGCTGAATGGAACGAATATCTTTGAATTCTCCAATTATATCTATCTAGGTCGGGAAGTCAATATGATGAACGACCTCCAACTCCATACCTCAGCAGAAGTAAACGAGCGGCCTGGGGAGCTTTCAAGAGCATCGAGGGTATAACGAAGAGGACAAGGAACACCCGAACCCGTGCTTACGTTTTCGACTCAACGGTTCCTCCTACGTTAAAGTATGCGTCAGAAACCTGGTCGCTGCGTAAAGAGGATGAAAAATCACTCAGCGTTATCGAGCGCGCAGTCGAAAGGACGATGCTAGAAGTATACCGTTCCACACAGGTAATGGATGGGATCCGAAGCTTCGATCTGCGCCAGCGATCAAAAATCAAAGACGCCGTTCTGTACACCAAACAGTCGAAGATAAGGTAGGCCAGACACGCAGTGCGTATGAATGACAACTGATGGACAATAGCCGTTAGTGACTGGATTCCTCTGGTTGTCAAACGTACTGCGGAAATACCACCGACCCGATGGTTAGAGTTCTTCACAGACTTGAAGAAAGGTATGATGCTCAACGAGTCCTTAGAGCGAGCGGAACCCACAAGGCTGCTCTTGCATTCGACAGGGAAAAATGGAAGATTTTCTGGCATCCGCACGAGTCACTCGACTATCAACAGGACTACAGGTGTTACAGGTGATTGGTGGAGTGCATTGAGATCGATGAGATCCGACAACTATGCTCCGCTCTCCAGACATGACCACCTCGATTTTTTGTTTCACATTTTATAATTAGCTCTCCCATGCATTTTTTCACTTATTTCAACGGGCTTGCATGTTTTACGTATTTTCCAAGTTATTCTATATATGGTTCCATGTTTTGGAGCATATCAAACTTTGCTTGTGGTGAAAAGAAGCTTGTCCACAAACTTACCCGTCTGTTATTTTTTGTATTATGCAAAACATAGTGCTTTTTTCTCCTCTATATCTACCGATTCCATACGGTTACTGCGATACTTAGGATGATGAGGCAATGAGCCATCGGCTCGTAGTTAAAAAATCGCTTGTGTAGGCTTGAGTCATACTGTTAGAAGAAGGATTGAACTTTACTCTGGTGAACCCTTCATACAGAGTGGGCAAGAAAAAGTTGAAGAGGTTGGGTCGACAGTGTCCTGTATTTGATGACTCGCTTTGTTCTCTCCATTGATCCCATACGCTTACTGTATTATTCTTGCATATCTAATCAAGTTTCTCTATATTACAAATAATTGGGACCACAAAGAATCAAACCATAGCTTTTTTTGGGTTCCCCAGATCAATCCTGTTGATAGGTGATTCTTGATGGCAGTGATCGACTGAGTGATCTGAGAGGCAGCCGAGACAAGGATCAGCATGGTGTGGTGATGAACGCGTTAGCCCACAGAAACGGTAATAGCGCCTTCGCTCCCCATCACATACACCTGCGGTCCGGGGTTTTGCAGATATCTCAGCATCATTGTGGTTGTATCACACATAATACCCCACCATAAAAATTTGCAATAGGTAATAAATAAAAAGCTAATATTATAACTTTTTTATTTGCTGCCTATTACTTTTTATTTGGAGGGTGTGATTTGGAATACAACCACAACGATGCTGAGATACTTGCAAAACTCAGACCTCATGCCAGATTCGAATCTGCGATTGCAGTTTCCAGGGGACTGACGTATTACTCTCTGCACAACTGAGACTCTCGATCTTTCTTTCTCTCAGCCACCTCTTTACCCTAACAGTGCCATGAGCAATCACCCATCAACGGGAATGATCTGTGGAGCACTAATCAACGTAAAACCCAGTCAAGCTGAGGCCGTAGTTGAAACCACAATGTGTAATTTTTTATTTACTGCCTATTACTTTTTAATGGCTCTGTTGAAGGACGACCGCTAAACCGGTAGTGTAAAAGACAGGCTGAGAGATAGCCAAAGTAAGAGTCTGAGTGGTGCAATGGATAACACTTGAACACCTGGAAAGAGTAATCGTGGGTTCGAATTTGCCCTGTTGTCCAGTTTTCGCAAAGATCGAGGTGTTAAAGCTCATAGCTTCTATTATGATAAAAGTTCATTAGCGTTTTTAAATTAGGAAAATTCACTCTAAAATCCCATTCCAGTGCAGGAAACATAAAATTTTAATTTCCTCTATATGATTAAAGCCGACGCGCCTGCATTGCACAATATTCGGGCCAGCGTTGATGAATAAGCGTTCTTCTTCTAACATAAGCAGCTTATGGATAGAAGCTCATTCTTTGATAAATAGAAGCAAACGTGAACGAGATCGTGAACTGCTGCATATTTTTTAATTTGCAACTTTTATATTGCATCGATGGAGAGCGGAAAAATCTTTGAGGTGTTGAGGCGATGTTGAGGCGAAAAAATTATTGAGTGTATAAGGATAAACTAAGTTTGAATGTTTTCAGAGTTAAGTTGTATTTGACTATGTTTGAATGTTTAAGTTTGTTTGCTGACCATCTTCAGATGGTCCGGGAGGTACTCGCACAAATGAGAGGGCTGGCAATGGGACAACGACTGGCACCAAGCCTTGGCATTGAATTCATGTCTAATGTGGAAGCGCCAGTAATCGACCTCAGTCCGTTACTCTACCGTAGATATATAGATGACTATACAGTGGTTATAAGATCAAAAAACTTAAAATTATAGATCTTTCTACTTCTGTTCAGCAAACACGAGGTGCTATTTTCTTTATTTACGCACAAGCCGACGCTACGGCGGATTTCGCCTTCCTCAGAGCCTGGAAGGGTCAAGTTGACAGCAATCCATTCGGCCAAACACCTCCATAACCAAACAGAGAAAACGCTAAACCAAGATTTCAATCACATTTAGCATAGCTCTGCACACTCACCGCTTTCTATGAGTCTTCAACTGAGTATGTCGCGTGAAGACCGACCGCACAGAATTCACATGAAAGCGTAATGTGCCACTCCTATCATAATAACAGGTTTATATACTGTCCAATATTATGCGCGATAACGAGGCATTCCTCCCTGCGGTTCATTTTCGGATTGACTTTATTTCTCAAAATTGACTTACCAACATGTCCCGTCCTGTACTTACTTATCAAAACCCATAAGTTAGTATCCAGCGATGATCTCTGTCTCGTGTCTGTCTGTCATCGTTATTTAAAGTTAGACCATTAGCTGCGTGGACGGGCCAACGCATAGAATAACGTGGTTAATAACTCTAACACTTACTCAGTTGTTGAAGTAGATTTCAGCTCGTCTAACGAACACCCAAATGTTCCTGGATCGTCTACGTAACGCGCGACCCAACAGCGCGTACGTGGTGGAGTCGTTCGACGTCACTGCCCTCTATGCGAACGTGTCGAATGACTCCGCTATGCAAGCCATAAACAAGCTCCTTATACAATACGAAGAAGCAATAAACACGTACGGCTTCTCTATTCAGCAGTTGATGACACTCTTAAAGTAGTGCCTAAACTGCTCAATTTTCAGATGGTCCGGGAGGTATTACGCACAAATGAGAGGGCTGGCAATGGGACAACGACTGGCACCAAGCCTTGCCATTGCATTCATGTCTAAGGTGGAAGCGCCAGTAATCAACCTCCGTCCGTTACTCTACTGTAGATATATAAATGCCTGCTTGGTCATTTGTTCAACACAAGAAGAAATTGACAGATGTTTCGAGTTGTTGAACGAACAGTCAGAGTATATTAAGCCCGAGAAAAACCAAAAGAAAACTGGCTTCCATTTATGAACGTGCAAATTAGCCTATCAGAAAACAGTTACATTAAGAAGTGGTATCGAAAGCCAAGTAGTAAAAACATCCTAGTTCATTACCTCTCCTCTCATCCCTCTCACACGAAAAGGGCGCTTGTGAGAAACATGTATCGAACAGCTACCGGCGTGTGCACAGGAAGACAACAGAGAGAGGAGTCCCGGAACTTGGCGCGGCAAATAGCCATTTTTAATGGCTACGAAACCGTAGCTCGAGATAGGTGTAGAGGAAACCACAGCCACCCCAACGATAGCTTTAGCGACAACAAGGTCTCGTTTATACTGCCTTTCATTTCAAATGAAGCTATAAAACGCTGTTCAAGAAGGACCAGTCTAGAAAATTCGGTAACGATAATCGAAATAAAGAAACGAGTAATCTAGGGCGCCAACTAGTTCGTAACCGCTTATACAACCGTCTATGTGTAACGCAAAATTGCATAATTTGCCCCAATGGGAAAGACGGTGACTGCATGAGTTCGGGTACAGTCTATCTGATCTCTTGTAAAGTGTGCAGGACGAATACGTTGGCCAAACGGGTAGACCGCTCTGCGTACGTATAAAAGAACACTTAGTCGGCAAAAGTAAACCAAATACTCCACAAGGCACGCATAGGACGCGGAGACATAACGGGGAAGATTTTGAAGGGTTACGATCCTCGCGCAAGAATCGAGAACACAAGCGCGCAAAACTCTAGAGGCATTCTGGATCAATTCCAAGAATCCGAAAATGAACCGCAGGGAGGAATGCCTCATTATCACGCGTGATATTGGAGAGTATATAAAGCTGTTATTCTGATGGGAGGGGCACATTACGCTTCCATGTGAATTCTCTGCGGTCGGTCTTCACACGACATACTCAGTGGAAGACTCATAGAAAGCGGTGAGTGTGCAGAGCTATGTTAAATGTGATTGAAATCTTGGTTTAGCGTTTTCTCTGATTGGTTATGGAGGTGTTTGGCCGGATACGTTGCTGTCAACTTGACCATTCCAGGCTCTGAAGAAGGCGAAATCCGCCGAGACGTCGGCTTGTACGTAAATAAAGAAATAAAATAGCACCTCGTGTTTGCTGAGCAGAAGTAGAAAAAGTTAAGTTTGATTGAATTAAGTCCGCTTTCAAGATTTTAAAAAGTCTTTGATATTCCTATTATAAACAGTGCTGTAATGCAGCACTCAGCATCAAGACAGATGTGAGAATAATTGACTGCTGTGGTTTCGTGACATTTATAATTCGAGAACATAGGTAAAATACCTTATGCTCGCCTTAAAAATGCTTTCATTTTCGTTGAAAATCTTACAAATGTCGTGCTGAGGTCATCGCATGAGCTGAAACGCGCCACTTGCACTGCAATTCTCTACTTTTTTAGCAACACAAAAGTACACTCAGTAGGCACGTCAGCCGAAAGAGCTATAGCCATGCGATCACGAAGTCCTCATGCTGGAAAAAATGAGAAAGATGCACGTTTGACATTATTCTTACAAACTTGCTGATACTTCCTACAGTAGCTAAGTATCTGAATGGCCAATGTTCAAGGGAAGTCTTTTGGACTTCAGCAGAATTTCTATAAGCTAGATAATTTACTGGTTAGGAAGGAGTTTCTTCGTGAAGTACATAGAATACCACCGTGTTAGGAATTCGTCAATCATCACCACAGGATTTCGTCAAGACTTGTAGATCGTGGAACGAGATTTACCACTTTGCCAGTAAATTGTCACCAACAATACGGTGATTTGCTGTTTTAATTTAGTCTCTGGTGAGTTTCTGAGTGGCAATGTCGAACTCTTTCGGCAGACCATCTTAAGCAACTATTTGCATTTTTTGCAAAATATTTGAATTATTTGAACACACTAGAGGAAAAAATGCTTGGCGTTGATCAATCCCTTATGGGCTGTACATTTCCGTATTGCAAAGCAAAGGAGACGTTGAAGATTTCTACCGTCAAGCAAATGGAGAAAGCAAGGAATTGCAGTGGTCGTGCATGGTCTAATGATGACGCTTTCGAAACTTTTTGAATCTCTGTACAAATTTGAAATCCGCTTTTTTTGTCCAGAAATTTATTGGACACAACGAGTTAGCAAAGATGAAGTCGTGTACTCGTCGTTCATTAGTAGTTGAGAAAAAAATTTTTAGCCTTATAGATGCAAATAGTGCCCTTATTCCTTTTGACTGTTGGAAAAGGGAATTAGTAGAGTAGGGTGAAATACCCTGAAATAGACTTAGCATGACTTTTATCTTCCTCCAATGTTGTCTCTTTGGAAAATATACAGTGACGACAAAATCTCAGTTAATTATATTTATAGAGAGCTTCAGTGAATGTGCTATTACAGCGCTCACATTTCGATAATTTCGCCGCCGTTTAATTAACCTGTAGGAACACAGAGTGCCGTCGATGAGATTGCTAGCAGTCCGATGACCGGAACGGAATAAATGAAAAGCGTCTATGAATCAGTTAGAGTGTTGTCAATGGAAATGTTAGCAGTCAGGGTGGTTAATGAGAAGTGTCTATGAGTCATTTAATGAGGTACCTGCAGAAATGGGATACGTATAGTGCAGTGCATAGAAGCACGTTGAAATACTCAATGGATCGGTTTCCGCGTGCTGAACTCACCAAGCGTACCAATCGGTGTCGGAAAAACTGTTACGAGATTTGTCTGAGAGAAGGCAAGCATTGACCTAGTACATCGATGCATAGCAATCTACTGTGTAGTCTGAAAAATTTATCAGATTGCGATGCTTAATTGATGGGAACACAGCGCATGCCTAAAGGCTTGATCAACGCCAAATATTTTGTCTACATAGGTGAAATGCTTATGTGAAAAAAGACTTCAGCAATTTCTCGCATTCCCATGTATCTCTTCGTTCGATTGAGCATGAACTTGTTGAACGCGTTGGTCCTGTTCTTTTCTTCGTAAATGGCTATTCAGTAAATAACAGATTTAACTGAAATTTCTAAGCTCGAATTTCATCGGTGGTTTCACATGTTTCAGAAAGATAGTGAATTTAACGAAACATTTCGACAACACACCACTGTCCACTGCGTTGTTGCATCTCATTTGGATTAGATGTCCCTCGTTTGCTAATTTGGTTGGAACGAGTCGCTTGCAAATGCATACATTAAAGCTATCATCAAGTTTATTAGAAAGGCGTTACTCACTTGATGGAGGCAACTTGTCCTATGTTCTACTTTACAGAGGCATAATTACAGCAGTTGATCCAAAGTGAACGTCAAAAAGTCTCGAGGAACTCGGAAAAAATACACACACACACAAACATACATGCATACACATACACACATACACATACACACATACACACATACACACACATATACACACACACAGAAACATCAGTGCACATTCTATACATCCACATTAATAAACAACTGTTTCACACTATATACACACGTGCACCCATAAATATACCTATATGCATATCCAAACAAATTTACATACATGCACAAATAATCAGATAGATTTATAACATAAAAATGACGAATTAATGAGATATTTTAAAGACCGCGTAGCCCATTGGTAAGACGTGTTCTGCAGGGTCGCCAAATGGTTGCACCTTGTGGCCTGGGTAATCGAAATTCGACGTCCCACTGAGGTGTAAGCTACTACCGGAACGGTATGTGGAGATGAAAGTGCTGTGAAGACACTATTGAGATAAAACAAAAATAAAATATTGCAGTAACTGCTACGACCGACTTTCTATTAACCTCGGCATTGATCAAGTGATCTTCTTCGTATTTTTGTTGAGCAAACGCGAGGTGTTATTATTCTTTGTTCACGATTAAGCTGACGTTTCGGCGGATTTCGCCTTCCTTAGAGCCGCTTCCTATGAGGTTTCCACTAAGTATGTCACGTAGAGACCAACAGCACAGAAATCACGTGGAAATATAATGTCATAATGTCATTACGTGAACAAAGAATAATAACACCTCGCGTTTGCTCAACAAAAATACGAAAAAAAATAAAATAAAATAAAACAAGATGTGTCTTGACATGGGTAGGCTCTCTTAAATCGTCGTATAGGCAAAACAAGTATTC